GACCAGACCAAGACCAGACCATGACCAGACCAAGACCAGACCTTCCCAGACCAAGACAAGACCAAGACCAGACCATGACCAGACCAAGACCAGAACTTCCCAGACCATGACCAGACCAAGACCAGACCTTCCCAGACCAAGAAAAGACCAAGACCAGACCAAGACCAGACCAGGACCAAACCAGGACCAGACCTTCCCAGACAAAGACCAAACCAACGCGGTGGCTGAATGTTCATCAATATGGAAAACACTTAATGAGATTATGAATTATACACCACAAAATCCAGCCACACATAGATACACCTTTTCTGAACTTAATTCATTGGCTTATGTTCTGCAATACTTGAAAGATGGATTTTACAGTAAAAGTTAAAAATCCTTTTCAAATCATTTTCTTTCTAAAGAACTAGTTTTTTTTATTGTTACACGATTACAAATCCTAAAAGAACTGGTAATTGACAATATTAATGATAAATAATATCTGACTGGAGAGCCAACTATAAACGCTTTATTAAACCACATTTTCTGTCCCAGAATGATATTTATTGCACTTAAAATAAAGTATGACAAAACATTTTTTTATAAACTGATATATTTTCTTTATCATCAACAATGGACCACGAAGCGTACTGCTCCTAAAAATACATATACATATATTTTTTATTTATTTTGATTAAGGGGGATTTGTTTATTTTTTTTTATATTGTAAAGTAAAAAAATATTATATATGTTATTGAAGTATAAACAGCGAGGCCCCCAGAGGATGTTTCAACGTTTGTGCAGGAAGATTTTTCTCAGATTGGGCAGACAACCTTAGCGAAAAATCTCCCCATTCAGTCCACCTCTGAATGAGTTGTTTTGACTTTCCATACCCCTGAAGACCACGCACCCAAAACCCACAACCATGACAACCACTCAGAGTTCCTCAAGATAGCTTGGATCATGGAATAATACATAAGATGAAGGCTGTAGGTGGTCCCATTCATAGCTAATGTCCCTTTATGACATCATAAAGGGCAATGTTTTCAAACAGAGCATTTTTAACTTGCATGAGCAAAGAGGTGGAGAAAGACAGCGAGAGAAGGGAGAGTTATTCTTCTTCTTTGAACCTAATACATGGGCTTCAGGACACATATGACTGTTACAAAAGGTTTAGAAAGTAACTTTTGCATAAAATTTGAAGCTCAAACATGAATGATTGAAACATCTATTGGACCACCTGAGCCAATAGAATCAGTGTCCATTTCTAGAAATCCCAGCCAACAGGAGAGGTCAGTAGTCAAATCTGTAGCTACGACACTGGGACAAACAATTACAGGAGCCACGAGGAAATATCTGATCTAATATCGATTATGACCTTAAAACAGTGTGAGATAGACAGAATTAATGTTTTTGGTGTCATGAATTGAGCCTGATTATTCTCCTTCATCTGCTTGTTCAGTGAATGTTAGATCATTCTTATTCTCCTCCTAGTTTCCTAGCAATTTGCCTCAGAGAGCACAGCTC